ATTAAGTACTTGTTATATAGGGTGCTCACAATATATAATACAATACAGAATTTGTAAGCAAATATTTTATAAAATGAAATACGAAAAGGTTGTATTATATTTTACTAGTTATATGATGATGTACAACAACGTTTTATACTTGTGTTATTTTTTAAGAAATAAAGATCACGTCTTAAATTAAATGCTATCTATTTTTTAATGCTACATGAAAAAATATGATGACAAATTCATTCATGTATATGATTATGATTTTCAAGGTTATACAGAGGGCAAGACTTGTATTTTCTATAGGAAAGCAATAAAAACTCATAGATGAAAAGTGTACACAGCAATAATACTTTATAATTTAATACATTTACCCAAGTATTATAAAATTTCATCTTTGCAAAAAAAGTTGATTCCTGATTCAATTTATAACTCAGATAATTTATCCAAGTCAAATTTGAAATAAATTCTGAAAAGCAAATTAATTCTTAGAAGTAAAGAAATTCATTCTTGTAATATCAGAATTGTGATATTAAAAATTGTTATGAATTTTGAATCAGTTAGTTTTTCCACAAATTATCTTTGATGGCAGCTCTACTCCATAACCTAACACCGTGTTAAACTGCAAATTAATTCTTCTCTTTGACCACATTGAAAACTTTATCATGAATTTGTCATGATATTTTTTCACGTGGCTTTAAAAAACATATAGCATTTTGCTTAAAACATGATATTTGTTTCTTAATTAAATCACAAGATATCAAACGAGTATGAGAACTCTGTTAGGACAATGTGATGCATTTTGTCTAATCATTATTTGGGATACTTAAACAAGCCACTCGACATGACAGGTGTCACACAAGCATATAAACAAACGTACCACCTACGTATTCATGGATCACATTTATCACACAATTTCAAAAGATAGCCTTGATACACCGACTCCATTCGTCAAACGAACAGAACTACTTCCAATCCGTGAGCAATCAATCCTAGTTCATCTTCAGTAGTTCTATCAATCTCAAAATATCGCGTCCATCAATCAATATCCTTCTCGTCCGAATCAACCACTTCAAATTCCCTTCTCGCCACTGAAATAATCCACCGTGTATTGCTTCAGACTCCATGGTGATTAGTGGTTTCTCGTTTATGGGAAATCGATACTGTCTCGCTAAAAGATTATTTATTCGTCCTCGTAATTGCCTGCTACCGTTAATCTTGTGAATATCAAGATGGTGTTACTCGGAAAATTTGGTATGTTCTTTCTTGGATGTGGATAAAAATAATGAAAGTACATTGTCAAGAATTTTGTGGGCAAGAAAATTGGTTGACGAGATTGGAGGAATTGGGTATTTGGAGATTTTAGAATTTTTGAGACTTTTACGAATTTCTGGAATTTAAAGATTTGAGAATTTTAGAAGTTTGGAAATTTTAGGAAGTCTTGTAGGAATTTTTGGAATTTTAGAAAGTTAAAGAATTATAGGAAATTATAAGAAATTTCATGAATTTTAGGAAGTTTAGGATGTTTGGAAATTTTACGAATCTTAGGAATTTTGAGAATTTCAGGAAGTTTTAGGAAATTTGAGGAATTTTGAGAATTTCAGGAAATTTGAGGAATTTTAGGAATTTTAGGAATTTTGAGAATTTCAGGAAATTTGAGGAATTTTGAGAATTTTAGGAAATTGGAGGAATTTTGAGAATTTCAGGAAATTTGAGGAATTTTGAGAATTTCAGGAAATTTGAGGAATTTTGAGAATTTCAGGAAATTTGAGGAATTTTAGGAAAGTCTCAGCTTTTGAAAATTTGGAAATTTGAGAAATTTGAAAGCTGAAGAACTTGAAAATTTAGGGATTCTGGGAATTTGGGAAATTAAAAATTTGGTAATTTTGCAAATTTCAGAATTTGAGAATCTGACAATATGAGAATCAGAGAATTTGTGGATTTGAGAATTTGAGAATTTGAGAGCTTGAGAACTTGAGAATTTGAGGATTTGAGGATTAGAGAATTTAAAAATTTTAAAAATTGAGAAATTGCGAAATTGAAAAATTGCGAATTTGAGAAACCGAGAATGGAAAAATGTAGATATTTAAGAATTTGAGAATGTAAGAAACGAAGAATGTTAGAATTATAGAACCTAAGAATTCGAGAATACATAACGTTAAAAATCAACACTTTCGAAACTCCTAAAATTTGTCTATCCAATAGTATCCAACATTCAATACCCACCTACTGAAACTCAAACTACATGACCACCTCTCCAAATAACATAAATGCAATAAAAGGACTACCAAAAACTTACTTCTCACACATAGTAAATCTAAAAATGTCGTAAAAAAAGTCGCAAATACGACATAAGCCTAGTAAAATTTGCTCAACGAGCAAGTATGCATCGATTATGAGCCAGTTAGCGATAAGTCGTGGCACAGGTGTCGGCTGTCGATGACATTCGTGATCAGTTTGGTGCTACATGTGCCTTATCATCCCGGTACACTCGCATAGTGTAGGCTCGGGAACGCGTGGTGCGCCTAGTAACATGCACGTTCTAATCTGGATTAGTTCGAGCTAGTCCGTCTTTGTGCGTGGAAACTGGGCCGACGTGGGTTGCTCTCCCTTCATCCCCCACTCTCGTATATGTTCACGCACACACAGAACCCCTAATTGCCTCATTTTCGCGTAATCCAGTCCATTCCAGTAGGTTACGGCCGGATGCTTCAAGGTACACGAGGCTATTCGCCGGGGACAAGATTGCATAGATACTGGATTACTGGATTCTAAGGTGACGTCAGATCATCTTCTAATAGCTCAGCGATCTCGTTTCGGGTCATTCTGAATTGCGCTTATTGAAAGCAGGATTTTTAGACCTTTTACGGGATTTGAGAATTTGGGAAGTTGGGAATTCGAGAATTTGGAAATTTAGGGACTTGAAAATTTAGGAAATTTGGAAATTGGGGAATTTGGAAGTTTGGAAATTTAGAAATAAGGGAATTTAGGGTTTAGAAATTTTAAAGCTTAGGAATTTGGGAATTTGGGAATTTGGGAATTTGGGAATTTGGGAATTTGGGAATTTGGGAATTTGGGAATTTGGGAATTTGGGAATTTGGGAATTTGGGAATTTGGGAATTTGGGAATTTGGGAATTTGGGAATTTGGGAATTTGGGAATTTGGGAATTTGGGAATTTGGGAATTTGGGAATTTGGGAATTTGGGAATTTGGGAATTTGGGAATTTGGGAATTTGGGAATTTGGGAATTTGGGAATTTGGGAATTTGGGAATTTGGGAATTTGGGAATTTGGGAATTTGGGAATTTGGGAATTTGGGAATTTGGGAATTTGGGAATTTGGGAATTTGGGAATTTGGGAATTTGGGAATTTGGGAATTTGGGAATTTGGGAATTTGGGAATTTGGGAATTTGGGAATTTGGGAATTTGGGAATTTGGGAATTTGGGAATTTGGGAATTTGGGAATTTGGGAATTTGGGAATTTGGGAATTTGGGAATTTGGGAATTTGGGAATTTGGGAATTTGGGAATTTGGGAATTTGGGAATTTGGGAATTTGGGAATTTGGGAATTTGGGAATTTGGGAATTTGGGAATTTGGGAATTTGGGAATTTGGGAATTTGGGAATTTGGGAATTTGGGAATTTGGGAATTTGGGAATTTGGGAATTTGGGAATTTGGGAATTTGGGAATTTGGGAATTTGGGAATTTGGGAATTTGGGAATTTGGGAATTTGGGAATTTGGGAATTTGGGAATTTGGGAATTTGGGAATTTGGGAATTTGGGAATTTGGGAATTTGGGAATTTGGGAATTTGGGAATTTGGGAATTTGGGAATTTGGGAATTTGGGAATTTGGGAATTTGGGAATTTGGGAATTTGGGAATTTGGGAATTTGGGAATTTGGGAATTTGGGAATTTGGGAATTTGGGAATTTGGGAATTTGGGAATTTGGGAATTTGGGAATTTGGGAATTTGGGAATTTGGGAATTTGGGAATTTGGGAATTTGGGAATTTGGGAATTTGGGAATTTGGGAATTTGGGAATTTGGGAATTTGGGAATTTGGGAATTTGGGAATTTGGGAATTTGGGAATTTGGGAATTTGGGAATTTGGGAATTTGGGAATTTGGGAATTTGGGAATTTGGGAATTTGGGAATTTGGGAATTTGGGAATTTGGGAATTTGGGAATTTGGGAATTTGGGGATTTAGAGATTTGGGGATTTGGGGATTTGGGGGTTTGGGGATTTGGGAATTTAAGAATGTGGGAGTCCGAGAATTTGGGAATTCGAGAATTTGGGAATTTGGGAATTTGAGAATATGGGAATTTGAGAACTTGAGAATTTGAGAATTTGGGATTCTGGGAATTGGGGAATATGGGTGAAAGCAGGGTGTTTAGAATAAACAGATTTTTTACCGTTTTCTTACTCTTGCAATCTTATGTTTGTGATGGGACATTATTATGCTAATGATAGCTTATGATGAGACATTATTAAGCTAATGATAGCTTATGATGAGACATTATTCAGCTAATGATAGCTTATGATGAGATGTTATTAAAAGAAGAGTTTCACGTTGAGCGTCTAGTTTCTGAGATATAGAGGGTCAAAGTGAAAACTACTTATCCCAGTTACAGTCTCCCGTTTTACGTATGTCAACTACGTTGACATATTATGACATAAATTATGTTGAAAACAGATTTTGGGAGATGTATCATATGCATGTACATATAGTCATATACGTATAACTGGAAGTTTGTTCTCTATTAAGGGGTAGTTTCTAGGAGTTGGATGTCTAATTGGAGAATGGTCATCCTACTCAGATAGAGTGTCGATATTTCGCTATTTTTACAGTATTTGTGATAATTTATAAAAAAATAAAAGTTCCATAAGTTCCATAAGTTTCCATAAAAGTTCATCGGGTTTTTGTTAGTTAAATATTATAACACCATAAAGTTTGAAATATTGTGTCCGGTAATTGTTCAGGGCACGTTCATATTTTTATATGTTCGTTGAAACTCACCTGTTGTTTCTGCAGCGCAGCCACATCCCCGCAGACAGGTCCCAAACCCGTCAGCTCGGTGTCTTTTCTTATCACCCATTCGATAAGTTCTCTCAATGATAGTAACAGGGCATTCCAATGTTCCGTATTGCTTTCCAGTCGATTTCTGTAATCATTCAAATAAACCCGAATTTATTACATAATTAATTAATAACACTTTAGTAAATGTAATGTTTATGTTATAATACAGTTACAACATTTAATAATAATAATAATCAGGCAGCTATTTTAAAAAATATACATAGACTTTAAATGACATCTGTCGCAAAATTTATATTTTAAAAATCGTTGATTTTATAATGTACATTTTAAAAACACTCTTTCTTATAATTTGCATTTTTTTAACAATGCTACTATCAATATTAGGTAATACAGCTTTATCAGCAGTAATTTACTTCGTGTTCTGTCAAAATTCGAGGCAAACATTTCAGATTTTAACAAAGTAATATTGTAATTTTACAAAGATAGGAAAATTATTTGAAAATATTCAATGAATGTACCAAGAGAAAAATAAAAAAAATAGGAGACCGTACACTGCTTGCATACCAGCCATGAACATGGCAAGAAATGCGTATCTCTAGCTGTAAATACTGATAAGGGAACTAGTGAGCGTGTGTCGGGGCAAAGAAATATTTATTTTCCAAAGAAATTGAAAGAGAGCGAAGAAATGAAAGAGGTCGGTGATGAATGGAGTAAAGAGAAACATCCGCATGGACGAATAGGGGAAAAGATACGGGGTTGAAGGTTGATGAAGGAAGGAATTTCACAAAGGCTCAAAAAGGTAGACAATAATAAATGGTACAATAGAAACTACCTCGTAAACTGATTCGGAAGAAAACCAACATGCATCCGAGCGATTTTTTTAATGTAATGTGGTCAGATTTTTATTTGCTGTAATGTATGAACTCGTGATTCTCGAAAAGGGAGGACATATTTCATTTGGGGGATGAATTCGCTAAGAAGTTTACTGTACTATTTGAAATATTATGAAATTTGAGGAATTTGAGATTTGGGGAATTTGGGATTTAGAGAATTTGGGATTTCGGGGATTTGGGGAATTTGGGATTCGAGGGATTTGGAATTTGGGGAATGTGGGATTTGGGGAATTTGGAATTTGGGGAATTTGGGATTTGGAATTTAGGGAATTTGGGATTTCGGGGATTTCGGGGATTTCGGGGATTTCGGGGATTTCGGGGATTTGGGATTTGGGGTTTGGGAAATTTGGGATTTGAGGGATTTGGAATTTGGGGAATGTGGGATTTTGAGG